AGCACTGGGTGTTATGCACAAACAATGAATCATGGAACACTTCATCTAAAACTAATGATGTAATGTATGGGGATTAACATAAGAATAAAAATAAATAAATAAATAAATAGGGAAAAAAACCCCAAAAAACAAACAAACAAACAAAAAAATGGTATCACTAGACCATCTCTCTTGCAAATGTCTGCTCTGATATAAAAACGAGCCTTTACTAATTTTTTTATTCCACGTATCATATCTAGTTCATAATCTCTCCCTTGTGCTAGATGAGATTTAATTTGGAATTTGTTACTTCTTACAGTTTTGTTTTCAATAGCAAATGTCAGTGATGAGTCATACTTTCAATTCTTAATTTGGAGCACTTGTAAAGTCAATAACATGTTGTCCTTGAGACCAGAGAGAACTAAGATCAAGCCTGCAGGTCTCCTGCTGCTCCTGGTTCAGAACAGAGGTCGAAAAAGGAAAGCGACAGTAACGTAGGGAACGTGTGTCTACTTGTTAGCACCGCACAGCCCACCAGCAGGGGGAGGATTCCGACTTTCACTCAGTGAATGGTTTACTGAGCGCTTGAGGTCCCAGGCTCCGGGCTCTGTGCCGTGAACAGGGTGGCAAACAATAACGGTGTAGACTCTGCCCTATGGATAGTTCGGTGCCCATCTACCAGATCTTTTGTATGACTGGAGTACAGAGGTCAGGACGGTGTGGCAGAAAGAGCCCTAAATGGGGCCTCAGGAGACTTAAGTCCTGGTCCTCTCTCTGCTTGGGCTCACCTTTTACCTTGAGAATGTCACCGTTTTCTCATGTAGAGTTGGCCTCAATCACTGGTTCACTCCTGATGTCCAGGCCATGCCCCACCAGAACTAAATCCTTATTCCCGGGGTTGGGGCCAGGCCCCAGTATATTTTAATGCTCTCAAGGCAATTCCAGTGTGCAGCTCAGGAAAGGGAATGTGGACACAGAAAGAGACACCATATATGTGCATGTACAGCGACACCCAGACCCAGGAAGTCTCTGAGAATTTCTGTCTCTGTGCCTTTGCTTCTGCTGGTTCTACCACCTAGCATGCCCTCCCTACCTCATCTCTGACAGATAAAATTCTAACTATGTGGGACAGCAGAGTTGAGTGGGAAGAGATCAGGACTGGGAATCAAAAGCCTGGATTCCAGGTTCCACCCTGTGATTTACTAGTTGTGGGATCATGAGAAACTTGCTTGCTCACTTCTCCAGGTCTCAGTTTTCTCATCTCTAAAATGGACCTAATGATCCCTTTGCAAGTCACAGGGCTGTTATAAGGCTCCAAGGATATCATGTATGAGAATATCTTATACTTTTAAATCATCTTATATATGGTTAAAATGCATGTGTGTCTGTACACATATAGTATACAAGGCCCTATTCAAAAGGCCCTTCTTTCATCATCAAGCTTTCTCTGATCCCCTCAAGGATTCTTCAAAAACACAGAGCTCTGAACTTTTACCATGTCATTTACCTTTAACTTCCTGCATTTCTATTTGCCCGCACAGAGTAATCTAGAGCACAGGTTTTGTAGTCAAACAGACCTGCATTTGGCAACGTCACTTGTCAGTGGCGTGATCTTGAGTAATTTACTTAACTTCTCCGAACTCTGGTTTTCCCTGTCTGTAAAATGGGTATTGTAATAAAACCTGTCTCACAGAGTTGAGATGAGAACTAATTCAAACAGTGCATTTAAAATATCTGACAGAGAACTTATGAACAGACCTTTCTCCAAAGAAGACATACAGATGGCCAACAGACACAGAAAAAGATGTTCAACAAAACTAATCATCAGGGAAGTACATATCAAAACCATAATGAGATAACACCCCATACCCGCCAGAATGGCTAAAATCAAAAGCACAAGAAACACCAAGTGTTGGCAAGGATGTGGAGAAAAAGGAACACTCTTGCACTGCTGGTGGGAATGCAAACTGGTGCAGCCCCTGTGGAAGACAGTTTGGAAGTTCCCCCCAAAATTAAAAATAGAACTACCATATGATCCATATGATACTGCTAGGTATTTACCCAAAGAGTACAAGAACATTAATTCGAAAGGATATATGTACCTCTGTTTATTGCAGCATTATTTATAATAGCCAAAATATGGATGCAACCTATGTGTCCATCGATAGATGAATGGATAAAGAAGATGTGGTATATAGTAATACAATGGAATATTATTCGGCCATAAAAAAGAATGAAATCTTGCCATTTGCAACAACATGGATGGACCTAGAGAGACTAGATAGTAAAATGCTAAGGGAAGTCAGTCAGAGAAAGACAAATACCATATAATTTCACTCATATGTGGAATTTAAGAAATAAAACAAGCAAACAAAGGGGAAAAAAGAGACAAACCAAAAAACAGACTCTTAACTATAGAGAACAAACTGATGGTTACCAGAGAGTAGGTGGGTAGGGTATGGGTGGAATGGGTGAAACAGGTCATGGGGATGAAGAGAATACTTATGATGACCATTGAGTCATGTACAGAAGTGTTCAATCACTATATTGTACACCTGGAACTAATATAACACTGTATGCTAATTACACTGGAATTAAAATTTAAAAAAAATTTTAATAAATAAAATATCTGCGCAGAAAGTGTTCAATAAAGGCAAAGCTTGTCTATTTCCCTCTTGCCTCACTGAGAATCAAGACTGGCCCCTATTTGTCCTTGTACAGCCCCTCTCCAACATCTAGCACAGTCTCTGCAGGTACCAGGTACACAATATTTATTGAATGAATGGGGTCAGGGATGGTAAGGCAAGGCTTTAGCATATAACTGATACAGTGAGAAAGGTCCAGTGAGCTGCAGACAGAGCCTCTGAATGAGGATTCTGGAAATCTTCAAATTCCAGGGCTACATGAGAATAAAATCAATGAAAGCCCAAGAGGGAAGTGGATGATTCCTCACAGATGGGTCAGGTACAGACCTATTAGACCATCGACCCCACTTGTGAATGATTAACCACCAACTTCCTTGGGTCAAAAAGGTATTATTCTACAACCATCATCTCTTCTTTCTGAGAAACCGTTTGCTTTCTCAGAGATAAATTTGATCAAGAGATAAATTCCTACACAGCCAGTAATCTATAGAGTATAAGACAAGGCAGGATCTAATCATATGTTAACCTACAGGGCTCCAGAAGTTCAGGGATGTAAAGAGTGGGATCAAGTGGGGACCTACAGGTGAGTAGGATTTGCAAAGCTGGAAGACAGGGGAAGAGCGTGCCCCAGGCACTGGGAGCAGGTGGGGCAGGGCATGAGAACGGGCTTATGGAAATGGGCCTGACTGAGGCAGGGACCTCCCGGGAGAGCTGAGCACATGCCCCCCCCCCCCCCCCGTGCTGGCAGGATCACACCAACTTACCATGCTGGAATGGACCGTGGCCTGCTCAATGTACCTTGCAATGCCTGTGACAAATGCATTCCTGTCCTCGAAGTTTGTGTCAAAGTTAGCCTGTAGGAATTAGAGGACAGAAACATTTGTTTGTTGGAAAACGAGTCCAAGGTGGCTGGGTGTACAAAAATGAGTCCAAACCGCTGTCAAAAAATGCCACAGGTCCCTGGGGAAACCTATCTCCACATCGTCCTCTGATCTTCCCCCAAGAAAATCCCACTCTGACTCACACTGGGCAGGCGCCGGCTAGACAGGACCCGCATCTGCTTCCCCAGGTTGCCCGAGCCTTGGAAGTAAATGCTTAAACTAGAGAAACCTAAATAGCTGTTAAAAGTTAAGATGTGCATTGCTTTCATCCGGCAGTTGCAAAAATACTCACCTGAGGTTGCAGATGCTTATGTACAAGGATGATAACTGCAGCATTTTTTGTGACAGAAAAACTGGAAACCATCCAAATGTCCATTAACAGCAAAAGGCTAAATAAATAGTAGTATATCCATGTGATGGACTTATAAGAGCTAGGTGGTGGTTAAAAATAAATTGGTGGCATTGTACTATTGAAATGGAAAAATACCCATAATAAATTTTAAGTTAAAAAAGCCAAATCATAGAGCAATATATATAGTATGGTTCCCTTTTGGTTAAAAAAATATATATATATATCTATATCTATGTATAATACATGTTTATATCATATACGGTAAAACGGTGTGTGTGTGTGTATGTGTGTAGCCACAGTTACAGGGAAATTACTTGCTATACTTTTCAGTATTGCTTGTAATAAAAAGGATATTTATGTAATTAAAAATTTAACCTGGGTTAGAAAATGTGAATAAGCCAAGTTTGTGACTTGAATCTTCAGGAATGTGCTTAATAAAATCTAACTACCGAACAAAATTACAAATATATTATGCATTCATATTTAGTCTCAGTTAGCAGTCCCAGAACCTACAAAAGGTCAAATAGAGCTAAAAATTTTGTATTAACTTATTCTTTCCTCACGTGGCATACTCACCCAGCAAGCCCGGACGAGGGGCTGTTTGTGAGGCTGACTCTAGCTACACCGATGCCCTTCCCGGCATGCCCTGAGGTGGAGCGGGGGGGGTGTCATGGTTTTAAGCAATCTGATCATGGTTTATCACAAGCCCAGGCAAAAGCAAACAATGGTGACTGGCTTCCCTGAGCCATTAGCAGCTATGGGGAGCTGAAAGCTCTTTTCACATACATGAAGGAAAAGTAATTACCCAGGCAGGCTCTAGGGGTTTCTAAATTGTAATATTTAATTCATGAGATGAGAGCTGCCAAATCCTTGGTTGGTGCTGCAGCAAGAACAGCCGGGAAGGTATTTGGAGTCAGAGCAGATCAACAAGCCTTCCCTGGGGAGGAGAGACAGCCCTGGTATACGTTTACTAGCTAATCTATTCCTCATACTCAGCTCCACCAGGGCACAAGGGACTCCATCAGCTCAGGGCCCGTCACCTTTTAGAGGCAGACAGCCCCCTTCCCCAGGCCTTCAGGGCAAGCCATCTTAGGGCATCTGGAGTTCCCGACTGCCCCTGCGCTATGGGCGGACGGACCTGGTACATGATGGACGATGGCGGCGGCTCGATGCATGGCTGCTGGTCGGGGAGGGGCAGCTCTTCCAGCAGGTCCACGTTGGACAGGGCATCCTCCAGGGTGACGTGGGTGGTCATGGCTACGGTTGCCGGATTCTGCACCGAGGGGAAAGGACGTCAGGGGCCTCCAGGGGTTTCTCAACCTCCCCCTGTTGAGGCTCCTTCCAGAGAATAAAGACGGTTTACATGCACGGAGACCACTTCCACTCGCTCCTTCTTCACAAGGTGCCTGCAACCTGTACCTGATACTGGAAGATCTCTTTACAGTTTACAAAGTACTGGGTTTTTTTTTTGATCGTCTATTGTCTGGACGGAGCCTCACCACAACCCTCTGTGATCAACATGGCAGGTGGTATTAGAGCCACAGAACTGACGAAGAAACAAGGCTCAGCGCAGTTATGGGGCACCCAGACAACCACCGTGACAAAGGCCCAGGCACCTCAAATGGGCCTGATGCTGGACGTGGGCCACAGCCAGCCCCCAACTTTGGTTCTTCGTGAGGATACGCATCCGTTCCGCTCCTAAATCACTGCATAGCACAAATACCTGTAACGAAAATAGTCAAGATTCTCCACTTGAAACCAGGGCCTACATTTTACAAGCCAAGTAAGCTGGAACTAAAAGAATTCAGACTCCTACACGTTTAACGTTATTTGCAAAAATGGAAGTGCCATGATCTTCCTTGGCCTGGAGAGGTTTTGTGAGGCACACCAAACAAATCAGTCCTAAATGGACATTTTTGTGTCTTGGACCCTGGCAGAGCGCAGTGGCTTTGACGAGAGCTTCATCTGGCAGTGAGGCTGAAGGGGATCTGAAGACGTGCTTACCCAAGCCGAGCTAACTACTATTTTAAGGACTCAGCACCCAGCAAACAGAATACTCATTTTTTTCAAAGCCTACGTGAGATGCTGATAAAAAAAAAGATCACGATTTAGGCCATAGAACAGGTTCTCACGAGTTCCCCCAAACATGACATCCTAGAAGTCACATTCACTGATTACCATGAATACAATTAGAAATCAATAATGCAAATCGCAGCCAAAAAAAACACCCATACCTATGAAGATTTGTGAAAACATACTTCAAAAAACATACTTCATCGCTGAAGAGAAAATTCAGATAGAAATCATAAAATATTTAGAACTGAAAGATAGAGAACATAAATAAACGTCTTAAATGCATTTAGCAGAAAATAAGAAAGTGAAACTAAATGAACCTAATTTTCACTCAAAAATCTAAAAAAAGAATAGAAATCAACCCAAAGAAATGAGAGTGCAGGGACTGATCATTACAAAAGCAGAAATAAATGAAGCAAAGTACAAAGCAGAGCAAAACAAAGAGTAGACCAACTGAACAAAAGTCTAAAGACTGAATTTCATAAGATTAATCATAAGGAGCTGCCCCGTTAGCATGCTTGAATAAGGAAAGGAAGAGAAAGCCCACTGTGCTGACGGTCAGAGCACCCGTCCCCTCCCTTCCCCAATCTCAGGCAAGTGTGAGAAGGGCTTGCAGGCTGGAGTTTTGAAGTGTCAGAGAATGTGTTTTGATGGCTTGTCAGGAAATGTGGTGTCCGACACCAGGGCAGAAAAGGGCCACAGACATGACAGCTGGGTCTAGGGCCCGCAGAGTGTACCCAAAGGCATGGTGTCTCTGTCCGGCCCACAGCTGGGAGCGCAGGTCAGGGCTGAGCAGCTAACGAAGCTGCACACTTCACTGAGTCTTCTAACACACCTCCCCGTCATGCCCAGTGGCAACAGGGAAGGCTGTGTCCAAGGAGGGCTTGGGGAGCTCAGAAGTGACTTCCCCTCTGTCCTCTGCAGGCACTTGGCCTCATCAGGGTGGTTTTAGGTCCTCTCCATACCTATGCTTTTTCCTGTTCTCTCCCCTGAGTTCTAAGTGCAGCATCCAGTTCTATAGCAAAACCATTTGCCAATCAACACACAAAAAATTGTCTCCCTTCTTACATTAGTATGATGTTCATTTTATAGGAGGGATTAATAATTTTATAGAGCATAATGATCTACAAGCTCCAAAGCCCTAATAAGTCTCTTCATTAATTCAAATAATAATAATAATAATAATAGTAGTAATAATAATAAAAAAACTAACATTTCTTTAGCCCTTATACTCTGCCAAGCACTCCACTATTTTAATCTTGCATCAACCTTGTGAAGGTAGGTGCTATGATTATTCCCATTTTACAGAAGGGCCAACAGAAGCTCAGAATTTAAGTAATTTTCACAAGGTCAAGTGCTGGTAAGTGTGGGGCTGGGGTTGGAACCCAGGTGTCCCCAGCTCCAGATTTTGTGCTTCCTTCCAAGTGCTGAGGTTCACATTGCAAGGCTGCACGTACTGACAGGAGGTCTATCTCTGTGCTAGGTCTTTTCTTTAAAAAAAAAAAAAGATTTTATTTATTTATTTGACAGAGACAGAGCACAAGCAGGGGGGAGTGGCAGACAGAGGAAAAGGGAGAAGCAGGCTTTCCACTGAGCAGGGAGCCCGATGTGGGACTCGATCCCAGGACCCTGGGACCATGACCTGAGCCGAAGGCAGATGCTTAACCGACAGAGTCGGGTGCCCTGTGCTAGGTCTTTTCAAATGCTACGCTTCAGTGATTGTTGGTCCTATTGGTCCTGCTTGTGCCAAAGTACTTACAGGCACGGCTTTTTTTTTTTTTTTTAAGATTTATTTATTTATTTGATGGGGCAGGGGCAGAGGGAGAGAGAGAGAGAGAGAATCTCAAGCAGACTCCCCACAGAGCGCCGAGCCTGATGTGGGGCTCAATCTGATGACCCCAAGATCACGACCTAAGCCGAAATCAAGAGTCAGATGCTTAACCCACTGAGTCACCCAGGCACCCTGCACAGGGACAGCTTTTTAATAATAAAATGCTTGGGCTCCATCCCTAGGACCTTGGTAAGGACCCGAGACAGCACAAGGAAGGAAATCTGGCAATATCTAACAAGCTCGTATAAGCATTTCATTCTTTGACACGCAATCACTTCCAGGAAACTATCCCAAAGACACGTTGATAAAAATGTAAAAAGACATTTGCACAAGGCTATTCACTGCGGCACCACCCGCAAGAGCAAAACTCTGCAAAATGCAAATACCCCTCAACAGAAGATTGTCTGAATAAACTATGGTACAGTGGCACAGTGAGATACTAGGCAGCAGTAAAAAGGAATGAGGAATCTATCTATACACACAAGTATGGGGTGATCTCCAGGATATGTGGTGTACAATACACTGTCATTTATCTAAGAAAGGAGTGACGCGTGCACACATACACACACACAGACACACACACAATTAAAAAACAAACAATGGAAGGATAAACCATCTAATTTTAAAAACTGGCCACTTACGGGGAAGAAGAATAGGCAGGAATATGGTTAAGGGGGTGGGGATAGAAGCAAGATTTCTTTGAATATACCTTGTTTTGTAGATTTGACTTTGAAACCATATATTTTACATAATTATAAAATAAAATTTAAATTTAAAAAGCAACTACTCCCCCCAAAAAAGTAAGATAAAACAAATTAAGGTATATGTGTATTAGTTTTTGGCATAACAACACAGAAAGAACCTATTCCAAGTGATTTTAAAACTCATAAATTTCTGACAGAAGATACCCTAAGAACGATGAAGAGTTGCAAAAAAATACCTCAAGCTTTTTTTTAGTAATTATATTGGTTAACTGTTGCAGTGAGAATGTTTGAATGCAGTGTAAGGTAAAACAAATTAGCAATTATGGAATGCTCTATCGTTCCTGGTGGTGTTGAGAACTGGCATTCTTGATGCTCCAGAAAGGATGTACAAAACCAAGTAAACTAAATTGCACTGAATATGAATTTGGGGTATCCGTAGGAAGTCAGCATGTGTTTTGACTTTATTTTTTTTTTTAAAGATTTTATTTATTTATTTGACAGAGACAGACACAGCCAGAGAGGGAACACAAGCATGGGGAGTGGGAGAGGGAGAAGCAGGCTTCCCGCAGAGCAGGGAGCCCGATGCGGGGCTCGATCCCAGGACCCTGGGATCACGACCTGAGCCGAAGGCAGACGCTTAACGACTAAGCCACCCAGGCACCCCTGTTTTGACTTTAAATATACCATATATATGTACGTTTGTATGTATGTGTACATGTGTTTATCTCCTAGCTTTGTGTACTGAAAAGACAAGCACACAATGACCAACCCATGAGCAATGAGCACCTTTACTGCCAGGCTGTGGTCTGCAAATACCATTTCCTGCTAAAAGAATCAATATTTCGAAGAAACAGCTCAGTCCAGGTCTGGGACAGAAAATGTATAAGAAAGACTTAGAAAGAGTTGTCGCAGCAGAAAGCAAAGAAGCAGCTCTCTATCTATGACTACTGGGGTGTGTCTAAGGGGACCCAGGAGCCATCTTGAGGCAGCTTCCACTGGCCAAAGAAGGGACACTGTGAGCATCGGTTAGTATAACTCAGTACACCTGAAGCAATATCAAATACGTTTAAATCCATGAAATCATAAAGACACTTAATAAAACCTTGGTTTTTATTACTTTGTTACTGCTGGAGGATGCCAGTGAACCAAACTTTATGTTGAAAATAGGTACAAAAAAGGAAAGAAGCAAACATTTAACGTGTCTTTCTTATACAAACTGACCACTGGATAACCAAGGGGAATGTTAATCTCTACAGATACAGAAGTTCTTTTTTTCCCCCAGAAACAGTGACAACTAAAATATCCCTAATTTTGGGCGCTTGGATGGCTCATTCGGTTAAGCGTCTGCCTTCATTCAGCTCAGGTCATGATCCTAGAGTCCTAGGATCAAGCCCCGCATCTGGCTTCCTGCTCAGCGGAGGTCTTGTTTCTCCCTTTCCCTCTGCTGCTCCCCTCTGCTTGTGCACTCGCGCTCTCTCAGACGTGTGCTCTTCCGAATAAATAAAATCTTTAAAAAATAAAAAAATAAAAATAAGATATCCCTATTTTTCTAACCCCTAAAATGGATATAGGCACAGATCATCACCTGCTGCTAACATCACTAAGTGAAAGACAATTAGAAAATATGTGTCTCCTGATGGAAAAGCACACCATCACCTTACAAAGAATGCTGGACCCAAAGCCAAACACCTGAATCCAATCAAGCCTTTGACACCCATTGATAGAAAATGGACAGGACAGAAGAACATGTCGGAATACACTACAGTGATGTATTAAAACATAATCTATGGGAAACTCTGCAGGACAAATGACTCAGCGTCTTCAACAAATAAATTCCATGGGGGTTAAAGAAGAGATGAAGGGGAAGCTATTGCCAATAGGGGACTGACAGGCCATCACAGTGCATCCCCTTGTTTGGATCCTCTTTCAAACAAGCCACCATAAGAAAATCATTTACAAGGAAATTGGAAAATTTAAGAGTGACTGGGTATTTGATAATATTAAAGAACAGTGTTATTATTTTTCAGATGTGATAATAATATCAAAATTATGTTTTAAAAGAGTTCTTATCTTCTGGAAACACCTACTAAAATATGGATAAAATGATATAGGGGTTTGCTTCAAATAATACCAGAGAAGGAAAAAGTGAGTAACAGATGAAACAAAACTGGCCATGAATTAATAACTGTTAGTGCTGTGTGATGCTTACATAGGGATTTATTCTATCTTTCTATTCAATTTCACATTTGTTTGAAAAATTTCATGAAATCCTCAGGCTCAGTGTATACACCACCAGCTCTAACCTATCTCCCCTTCCTTCACCTTCCCTGACTCCCACTTGCCACCATCTTTCCCCTCCCCTTTCTCCTACACCCTGGGTTTCTTCTGGACTTCACACACTTCAAAATAACCCATCTACCAGAATAACCCTTAAGGTTTTCCCTTTAACACAATAAAACCCCTGCACTTCCCTTGAAGAGAATCAATAAGTGAACAGCCTACCAGCCAGTAAATTAGGAGTCTTTATTTCTGTTAATGCAACCTTTCTTTTCTCCTTGTAAATGCAGCTTCTCTAATGGATTCCTGTGTTTATTTGTAGATCATTCACTGCCTCAGGGAGAAGGAAATCAGACATTTCTAACTCAAGTGCTGTAAGTCACTGCCAACTCCACATCAATCAGAAAGAAAAAAAATATTTTGGAAGTTTTAAGCGGTATACGTGAAAATAAGCACTTGCTTTCTGGCTCAAGTGTCCTGCCTATTATGCAATTTGCCAAGTGAGGATAATTCTTCATATCCAGTCAATGAACATGTGGCCATTTTGCCACTTTGGAAGAGAAATTCACAAAAATATTTAAAAATGAACTGTGATCTGGGAGTGTCACTTACCAGACACAGCTGCAGCCTCTCGGGGTGGGGCATTCATGGCCGATTTTAATTCAGCATCTTTCTAACAAGCTTAAACGCAGTGGCCTGGTTTCACCGAGAAGTAACAACCCTGGGCTCCAAGGCAATCGGCTTCCGAGAAGGGCTTTAGGGGCACCCTGGCTGAGATGGCTGATGGACCCCCAGCAAATGAGGGGGGGGGCACAAATGCCGGATGTGTGCCAGGAGAACCTGGCTTAGGGAACGCAGGTTCTGAGTAACCACACCCTAAACCTGGCTACTCTGGAAGCAAAAGATCTGCATTGTCATTTTCTATTTGACTTTCTGGAAGGAAAAGGAAAAATAGCATGATCTTTTTACTTAAGTGGAATACCGGGCTAAGTATAGCAGTTAAGCTTGCACTATGGGTTCAAATCTGTCATCTGCCACTTTACTAGCTACATAACCATAAGCATATTACTTAACCTCTTGAGTCTCAGTTTCCTTACCTTTAAAAGGGCAATAATTAGTAATGGTCCCTGCCCTCAGTGATTTATTCTGAGGATTATATAACATTACAGAATGTGGAATGCTGCCCAATAGCAGGCACAAAGTAAGCCCTTGGGAAATGTTAGCAGGCGGGTGGCCTCTTTTTAACATAGTGAATGGACGAATCAAACATTGCCACAATTCTATAAAAAAAAAAAAAGAAAGAAAAGGAGGGTATTACTACTATCTCAACTCCAACATCTCAACTCTATAGGTCTTTTGTATTGATTTCCTCAGTCACAACCACCCTGCAGTTTCGAGAGGACAGGTGTTATTTTGCTGTTTTTCTAAGGAGGGCAGTGTTACTGAGAAGTGAAAACTTTCTTTCAAGGTCACGTGGTCAGCTGTGGCTGAGCTAGGGCAGAAAGGGGATACCTTGACTCCCAGTTCAATGCCCTTTCTTCTAGACCACACCTACTTCTGTATCTTTATAAAAGGTACCAAGGACTTTACTTTTTTTTTCCCCTCCAGGTTGGCTGCTTTTTCCCTCCCCAAGAAGAACAAGACTCTGCCAACCTAGAAAGATTAGGTAACTGTCACCTTTGGGTCCCACAAACATCAAGAGGCCAGGAAATATTTTCCCTGCCTGTAAATCTATCCAGCTAGAAAGCAACTAAATAAATACATAAATAAACACATAATTTAAAAAATGATAAATACGTGTATATTTATATATGTAAATAAATAAATGCATAGGTAAATACAAGGGAGGCTTAGACTGTACCCCTTAAAAAAAAAGTGTTCTTGCACAGCATTTGACTGAGCAAGGAAAAATCCAAAGAAGGAACCTGGAGTGTAGCCTGCTTTTCCATCATGGGTATGCACTGGGCGTATTGGAGACTGTGCGGGGACCCAAGTTGGTTGTGGCTCCACAGGTCAGTATTTCCTCTGCAGCTGAGACCCTTCCACATGTCAGGGGCAGCTTCTTCACAGGTGTGGGGGACAAGCAGGGACACAGTCACCTGTGTGCATCTTACAGGACTTCCACAGACTCCCCCAGAATGGACCATGTGGCTTATCCTGAACAGGCTGGAAGTGAAGAGTTGGACAGGAATGCTCCACTGATCCCGTGGTCAAACCTTGTGGCTCCAAACCCCACTGCAGCACCTTGGTACTTCTTTTAATGTATCGCCTGTCCATAAAATAAAGCCATAGGTTAGGCGCAGCCCCAACGCTGACAGCAGCAAGCCTCAGAGTGGCTCGTGGAGAGGAGAGGCAGAGCCATGCAGGATGGAGGGGAACCATACGGCGTGGGAGGCTAGGCCACAAAGTACAGATGCAGAACTCTACCTATTTCAATAGCTTATAGCAGGCTCATCAATATCACACAGTACATAGCAGAACCCACCAAACACTTTATGTGCTGCCGGGATGATCCTAGGGCTGGGGGAGACCGAAGGGAATGGTTACCTCCTTAAGGAGCCTTTCTGACTCTCTTACCCCCTACCCAAATTCACTTCCTCCTTTGCCCCTACTTTTGTGGCATCCATAATGCTTTATTACACCTTTTACCACATCTTCTCTTCTGCCCTAAATGACAAATTCCTTGAGGGCAGGAGGTGTGTCTAACTCACACCCAGCTCCCAAGCACAGTTTCAAGCACACATTTGTAGCTACATAAAGATTTATTCAATGAGTAGGGGCGCCTGGGTGGCTCAGTAGGTTAAGCATCTGCCTTTGGCTCAGGTCAAGATTCCAGTGTCCTGGGATCAAGCCCTGGGTCGGGTGGGGTTCCCTGCTCAACAGGGAGCCCAATTCTCTCTGCCCCTCTCCCTGCTCGTGCTTCCCCCCCGCTCAAATAAACAAAAATCTTTTTTTAAAAAGTTAAAAAAAAAGATTTATTCAATGAGTAGATGGCCAGTGAGCCCAAGACATCAAGAAAGCCATTGCTATGTCTAAGATACCAGGATTTTAAAAGTGGGAGAGGAGGAAAAGGAATATAAATAGCAAAAAACCTGTTTATATTTTAGAAAGAACTCCATCAAAATGGTTCAAATAGTTAACATGTGAGCACTTAAAGTGAAAAGTTTCAATATTTTGTAAACAGTTATCTCTGAAATAAACTTCCTTCTCTCACCGTATGACCTGATTTCACTCATCCTTCAAGGTCGCTCCCCTCTAGGACGTAATTGCTCCTTCCAGTGCTGGTGAGGCTGTGAAATCAGAACCCTCAGACGCTGCCAGTAGGAAAGTAAAATAGTGTGGTACCTTGGGAAGCTGTAGCAGTTCCTCAAATTTTGGAACACAGAGTAACCGTGTGACCCAGCAATTGCACTCCTCGGTCCATCAGCAGTACCCCTCTTCTGACACGTGCTGCGTGGGAAGGGTGGCAAGTACCGATACTTCCTCTTCCTATGTCAGGGCCACTGTTACTAATTGATAATGGCTTTATTTCTCAGTGAGTCCACAGGCAGCCTCAGAATCCTCCTCAGGAATTACAGAGCTCCAGCTGGCCACCAGCCATCAATCTGCGTTTGCCCGTGAAAGAAAACACGGATGCCCTTCCTCGCGTAGAATGATGCACACATGTGTAGCCTCCACGAGGTGAGAGGCCATTTCTTAGCCATCGCTGAAAACCTGAGAGACCTTAGCAGAGTGCTGGAGACAGATTACGCACTGAGGAAGTAGCAGATGAATGCGTGACCACATCTGAATCCCCTGATGACACAGGAGAAATGAGATGACCTGAATTGGCCATGTCTTCATTTCAAGCTTTCCCATTCCTTCTCCTTCACTATTGACAACACAGATAACTTAAATCAACATGGAATATGCAGTCATATCCATAAACTGTCTATACAATTACTTACTTAATATTTTGTCTAAAAAGACTTACCATTTTTCACTTAATACATTTTAGAAGGAAGCTTATATTACAATCCCTAACAGAGAACCAGTATCACTTGCCATAAAAAAGGGAAACTATAAAAACAATGAAAACAATGGGTATTATCTGAAAATCATCTCACATCACCATTGATATGCTCAGGAGAGGTGGTTTACCTGGTGAGAGTGGGATGAAGAACTAGTTAGAATCCTGACTGCCACTCTGCTGGCTGTGTGACCTTGGGAAGTTGGCATCATGTTTCTGAGCCTCACCTTCCTCGTCTCTGATATGAGGAATAATAATAGTTCCTACGTCAGGGGCGCCTGGGTGGCTCAGTTGGTTAAGCGACCACCTTCGGCTCAGGTCATGATCCCCTCTCCCCGCTCATGCTGTTTCTCTCTCTCTCTCTCTCTCAAATACATAAATAAAATCTTTTAAAAAAAAGTAGTTCCTACGTCATAGGGTTTGAAAACGAAATGAGTTGATCCATGTAAACAGCTTGCTAGGTAGAGAATGCTCAAAAAAATTTCCCCAACAAAACCAAATCCAGCAATGTATAAAAAGGATTATATATCATGACAAAGTGAGATTTATCCCAGGAATGTATGACTGTTTCAACAATAACATCCAAAAATCAATTAATGCAATAAACCATAGCATAGAATAAAGGACAAATCCCACAGGGTCATCTCAGTATATGCAGAAAGAACAATGGACAAAATCTCACACTCCTTCATGACAAAAACACTCGACAAACTAGGAACAGAAGGGAACTTCCTCAACCTGATAATGGACAGCTAAAACAAAACAAAACAAAATCTACAGCCAATATCAGACTTAATGGTAAAAGACTGAATGCTTTCCTAAAATTAGGAAGAAGACAAGGATGTCTGCTCTCTCCATTTCTAGTCAACATTGTATTGGAGGTTCTAGCCAGGGTAATTAGGCAAGAAAATGAAATAAATGGTATCCATGTTAGAAAGGAAGGAGTAAAACTATCTCTATGTGCAGATGCTTAATCTTCTATGTAGAAAATCCTTATGAAACCCACTAAAAACTATTAGAATGAACAAATATATTTAGCAAGGCTGCAGGATATATCAACATACGAATATCAATTGTATCTCTATACACTTGCAATGCACGATCAAAAAATGAAATCAGGAAAATAATTCTATTTACAACAGCATCACAAATAATACAATATTTAGGAATAAATTTGGCAAAAAAAAGAGCATAAAATGTATACTCTGAAAACTATAAAACATTGTCAAAAAAATTAAAGAAGACACAAATAAATGGAAAGACATCCCATTTTCATAGATTGGAAGACTTAATATTGTTAAGATGGCAGCACTCTCTGAGTTTATACAGATCCAATGTGATCCCCATCAAAATTCCAGCTGGTGTCTGTGAGGAAATTGACAAGCTAATCCTAAAATTCACACGGAAATTCAGAACAATCCCAAAAAAGAACAAAATTGGAGGACACCCACTTCCCAATTTTAAAACTTACTACAAAGCTACAGTAATCAAAAGAGTGTGAGGGGGCGCCTGTGTTGCTCAGTCATTGAGTGTCTGCCTTCAGCTCGGGTCATGATCTCAGGGTCCTGGGGTTGAGCCCCTTATCAGGCTCCCTGCTCGGCGGGAAGCCTGCTTCTCCCTCTCCCACTCCCCCTGCCTCTCTCGCTCTCTC